ATCAACACTCCTGCCCAACTTGGTGTCATCTGCAAACTTACTGAGCGTGCACTCAATCCCCTCATCCAGATTAATGATAAAGATATTAAACAGAACTGGCCCCAATATCTAGCCCTGGGGAACACTACTTCTGACCACTCCGCATTAGAAAGGAAAGATTATACTGCCCAGCACACTCCTGGTACTTGATCTCACTCCAAGCTTTGAGTGCTAATCCCACCACCTCTATACTGCCTGTCTCTCCTATGCACGTGTTTGTGCTTGTGTGTGTGTATGTACAGACATGCACATCTGCTAGTGACAATCCTACACTGGCTGCTTTCCCTGACCTGCTCTGCACAAGAAGAGAACAGGACTGTGGCCCATAGCTGGCTCCATTGCCCAGCTGCCACTCTTTTTTCTCCAGAAATTATATATTGCATTTCTACTTTAAACACATCTCTACATCAGCTGTCAGGCTAGCAGTCCAAAGACCCTAGTTCTCAGGTGCTCCTCTTCACCACACTATGGGAGGACATTCTCCACTGGAATTTGGTTACTGAAGCACTGGGAGACAGAAAAAAAAAAAAATCTGGCTTTTTTCTTTGCCTACTTCCAGCAGATAGCTGGAACATTTAAAAAAAAATCTTCCCAAGTATGAACAATGAGCACTTCTGAAATTACTGGTTCTAAACTAGTGGAGATCAAACTTCTCAAATAGCCTCAATGGTTTTAGAAGTGCCTGCTGACACAGATATGTCTGTTAACTCCTCAACTCTGGAGGGCAGAGCATGTGCTAACACTCACTTGAGGGCCTCAACGATTCTCCTTAACTGCAGGGATAAGTCACACAGCAGAATGCTCTTGTTGGTCCACGGGAAGGACTGCATGCCCTTATGAACACAAAAATTATAACCATTTCTGTTTCTTGAAAGATCTCTAATTCATCAGTAATGTTTCAATGGAATAATGGCCACAAACCCTAGCAGCAATTATAGAAATGTGTTTTGGCTTATTTATTTAATGCATAAGTACAAGCTTTTTAATGAACAGAAAGTGATGATGCACCGGCAGGACAACAGGGAAAATGGAGAAAAGGATATTGAAAGCTCTGAGCACTGCTCTCCTCTCTTCTGTCTCGCTCTCTGCCTCTCTCATACATTTGCCCTCTCCGCCTGTGGTTCCACTGTGGAAGCCATATGGCTTCCAACTCTCTTCTAAGTAGCCACTGAGAATTGTCTATAGTGGAATACTGCCAAAGCCCTTCCTGGTTTAATGACATGGGGAAGAGCGCTGTGCAGTGCTCACCCAGCACAGAGACTCACTGTGTCCTTGATTATGATCCTGGAGCCAGCAAGCGATGCTGGGAATTGAACCATCAGTGCCTCAAATACAGAAGTCGACATGTGCCAACCCCTGCTGCACTCAGCCTCTGTGTGTGGCATATTAATGAGTCTTGAACTTGAGGTCCAACCTTCAAGCTTGCACAGAAGGAATTACCCAAAGACAAAAAAAAAAAGGTCCTCTTCATCCCGTTTCCCTCTAACCTTGCACAGTGATACGAGTTTCTACACTGAGTTTGTTCAGTCCTTAAGCAATAACTTCGGTTTTTAGGCCATCACATCATAACTCTGCATATATAACCACAATTTGCCTTGATTTAAAGATTTGAAAAAATAGCTTGAAAAGATACTCAGAACAAATACATTAAGCCAAGAGGGTATAAGAGGGAACAGATGACTCAGTACTAACCCTCTTTCTCCTACCCTATCCATAAATACCTGCTAAATGGTGGAGTCAGGATATGGAGCTAGATGGAGCTTTCTTCTGCCTGTTTCTATGTGCCGTGACACTAGATAGCAGGAACGTGGGGTTATCAGTGTGGTAACAGTTTCAGTCTAAATCGGAAAGAGGAGGGTGCTCAGCCTGATGGCTGCATTCCCATACCGGCACAAAATAGCATTGCTGGGGAACCCCCCAGTGCCAGGGGCACCAGAAAGGGAGCCCAATACCTGTGGAAGTTGGTGATGCACAAGAATCCTCAGCTGCATAACCCAACTTGGAATTACTCGGTCTTATTTTACTTGAATTTCCTGATTTAGAGGAAAACCATGGCCATCTACTAGTCAGCTGGAACACTGGGTTTGGGGAAGTTTTGCAGCATTCGTTTTGGGCTTTGTAAATGCCTGGTGCCTAGCAAAGGCTGGTCTCTTATTTTCTGAGAAACAATTTTTCTCCATGTGCACATTTGGCAGCAGAGGCACAATACAGATGAAAGAGCCCCTACAGAAGGATGCTCTCTTTCTTTGGAAAAGGTTGTACCTCTGGAGAGAAATTTGACAGCCTATGAAAGCTGTGTCCTGCTGCAAATCTGTCCAAAAGTCAGAGAAAGGGACAGCTTGTAGAGGGTGAACAGAGCCAATGTAAAATGTAACTCTCCAGGACAGCATGTTTCTCTGGTGGTAAGAGGGAAGGACAACACATCATTGACCCTGAAACCACAGTGTACAGCCTTCCTAGGCAAAGATAAAAGACTTAACAAGCCTGTAAAAAAATCACATACTGAATTTTACTTCCGTCAAGAAATAAAACAAAATAAGTTACGGTGTTTATGAAATCTTCTCACCTTTGAAACACTTTAGAAATTTAACTAATCAAAGCCCAGAACAATCGCTGATGAAAGCCTCCTGACAGCTCAGGAAGCTACAGAAGCAAGGTCACAACATTTACCCAGTCACAAAGGCTATACTGGATGTGCATTATTTGAGGGATCTGGCCTAAGGCACCAAAGCCCAGTTTGTTCTCTGTCTCAAGTCTGCAAATTCACATCTTCCTTTCCATAAGTCAAAGGCAGCGTTCTTCAAATATGCATACTTGGCCTATTTGACTCCCCAACTCACTCACTAACAGTTGTGATGCTAGAGCAGATAAAACACACCGTGACAGTTGGTCACATACAGTGACCCCAGCTCATGCATGCTATTGCTCGGTGTTCCTGTGGCAAAAAGCAATGCTTTTTCAAATACCCCACCTCTTTCTCTAGCATATCACAAAACTCACTGCACATTCTCAACAGAGAAATTACAGTATGGCAAGGTAGCAAGAACAGATGTGAGTACAGATCCATACAGTGTTTTCACAGTTCAAGACAGAAGTACTAGAAGCCTATGTGAACTATTCTGTTTCTTCCTCAGCTCTTAGTTGACAGAAATAAAGAAAAATCTTCCACTAATTTTGATGGGAACAAACACCAAATCACTTCACTACACTGCTCTAATTATTTCAGCAATCCTGAAATAAAGCAGTATATAATAATTATTATCCTAAACCAATACATGGTGCAGCAGCAGTGGACACACATTCCCTGAAAAGCCAAATAACTTGATTTTATCAATGGTGAAGTTCTCAAAATTATAACGGCAAGTACTTCTGTGATACCAAAACGAAGAAGCGTCATTCTTCTATGAATAAGCTGCTCAGTTACCAAAATACCAAACAAAAATGTGTTCTTTGTTAAGTACTTCAGAACACAGAGTAAGATTTGCTTTTAAGAAAGACAAGATCTGTTTGAGTTAGCTGTGATTCAGAAAGTCACAGAAGTCTCATAAGCCTACAATGAAAGTTGCTGATTGGGCTTTATTGGTCATGCCTCTGTTTCAGCTTATCTGGGTTGGGTACCAAACCAGGACCGTTATATTTACAGAGTCTTGCACTTTCAGACAAAAACATGCAGTAACCAGCTTTACCATATTTAATAAAACAATAAACTTTGTGCTGACCTTTGGCAAGCGTTCGGGGTCACCAGGGTGCCGGGGTATAACCTTCTGTAACCTTTGGAAACCATAGTCAATGGTGGGTTCATTCAGAGCTGAAACAACAAACAACATTGTGATGTGACAAATGCATAGCAATTGGCAATGCATTGCAAGACCAGGGAAGGATCACAGCAAAATCTCCTTTTACTGAAATCAACACTGACTATGAAGTCTTGGTTCAAATGCTATTTGAGGTTGGTTCTGAGGCTTTGGTTCAAACAGCAATGCAAACCTTCTCACTTGAGTTCCTAAAACAAGGTTGCTAGAAAGATTGAGGATGTTGCATACATCTTCCAAATAGGAAGCAATTATTATCTCTGAAAGCTGTGATGAAATTAATTTGACAAACACTTTGCACCCCATGTTTCATGTTGGTTTTTTTCCTGCTTTCATATTACAAGGAAGGTCCTTTGTGACTGGAAGACAAAAGAAGTAACTATTAGGGAGTCTTGTTCCAGAGTCTATTAGACATTTAATATGCTCCATGTGCAATGATCACATATAATTTTGTTGTGAACTACAGGCATTTGTCTTGGCAGAGGCTTTTTTTTTTCCTCATCAACACTGACTTTAGCAGCCTGACTCAGGCTCTGATCAGCACTAAACTGATCCATAAGACTTAATGAATTAAAAAAATATATAAAAATATATGGGTTTAGGTCATCTCTCCCCAGTCCTTGTCCAAGAAAATGGAGGAGAGAAATGGTGAAAGTGGAACACTTTAATCTTCATGAAAATGCTGGTCTGCCTGCATTAATCGAAGCTCTGATTGTGCCAAGCCTTTAAGCACACGCTTATCTGTAAGCACATACTTAAACCCATTTGCTTTCAGCAAAGCAAATTTGAGCATATTATGTTTTTTGTATGATTGCCTATAATTACAGGGGACTGCACTGAATGACCTTCTAGCTATATTTCCAGTCATATGATCACTTTAAAACTCAGATGTTAGTGAGACTTCAACATGTGCTTAAAATTTCCTAAGTGCTTTGTTGAACTGGAACAAGAGTCAAGCATTCTCAAGCATCTCTAAACAACAGCACATCTTGACTCTCCCATGCCAATAGAGATGATGAAATTTTCTACAGCAATTTGTTTGCAATTTTTTGGGTTAAATGAAAAAAAAAAAATTTCCAATATGGATTTTTGTATTTTCAGCCTTTTTTTTGGTAGGAAGGAAATCTAATTTTTTTTTTTCATTTTTGGGTCACTTTGAAGTTTTTCTTAATTTATCTTAGCTTATTAATAGTAAAAAAAATTATTTCTTGTACAAGGTCTGCCTACTAAATTATTAATATATCCTGCACCTTTATGATGGTTTTATTATGAACTTTATTATGTGACTAGAATGGTGCCGTCTGATTCTTGCAAAGAGATTTAGCATCAAGTTATATCTCCCAATCTCACTTGTGTAAGCACTCTCCTGTGTCTCAATGATGTTTATTCCACAGCAAGTTACACAACTCCATCAGTCTGATCAACATGGCACAATTTGTCCATACTTCCACCTTTTAAGTGAAGAGAACATTTCTTCATACTCTTAACATTAAAGATCTTTAGCCAGACCACACTGTTATCATGAAAGTAATATCTAATCCCTGGATTGTTTTTAATTAATTGGTGTTTCATAAACAATCCCACAGAACAGTCCAGTTTTTAGAGAAACTGTTCCATTTAAATTTTTATTTTCAAATGACATTTCTACAGCAGATGGTCCCACTGGCACCAAAGGGTCAGATTTTTATATCCTCCTGGACCTCCAGTAAATCCCAACTCCACAGCCGGCCCAGTGATGCTACTGCAAATTGAGGCAGAAGGAAGGTGGTGTAGGGGAATCCAGATCTACCCAACAGCAGTGAAACAAGTGTGTGGCTGATGGCGAGGCACACAGTTCAGAAGAATCTCAGCATTTCTCTAATATCAAAAAGGAACCTTCTGAGCCTACCCTGAAATTCCAGTTACAGTATTATAGTAACACCAGTTTAGAAATCTTTCAGGATTTTACTTTCTGGGCTATTTTCAGAAGTTTTTTATTGCCCCAGAGATCATGACATCACTCTAGTCTCCTCTTTTTTTTTCCATGCATTTCCCTTCAGGAATATCTGAATTTGATCTTTTATTTATATTCAGGTCATTGTACAGAAGGGGTGAGAATACGGCTTTTCCCCTGCTTGTGCCCTTTTTGGATTTTGGATGGTTGGGCCTTTTTTCCACGTTTTCTTTCACATCCTGTCTGCATGCTGTCCACTCTGCTGTGTAGTTTTGCAGAAAATATCACAGTACCTGGGTTTCTATATCCGCAGTTTCATTACCTTTGAGTTTCCTTACATGGCTTCTCATCATGGGCCTGTTTAGTTTAGACCTTCTTCAAATTTTGCAATAAATTAATTTACTGCTATTTATATTTATTATCAATAATAGCTGTTCTCTGAGTAGATTAAAAAAAGCCCTACAATTGTAATTTACATTTCTTTTGCAAATATGTTAGAAGATTTTAGTGTGGTTCTGTCAAATGTGTTACTTCTCTAATTCAGTCTAGTTTATGGCCATTTTCCCTTTACATCCTTTGGGAAAGTAGTTACTAAATCCTGCAATATTATAAATGGAGGCCAGTTCTGAAATCCCTCCAGAGATAGCAGTCATTTTCTTATATCTTCCCACACATTCAACACATTTGAAATCCACAGAGTATTTCCTGTGAGTATTTTCTGAACTAAATGACCAAAAAAAAATGTTAATTTTATGGTCCAATCACACAAGGCATCAAGCATCCTCTGAGAGATACTGAAAACTTTCTGCTTCAAATAGCTTCAGCTTTACTTCAATGGTGGGGAGAGGCTGCATGCAGCAATTTGCAGGATTGGGTCCTCAACTGTAGTTGTCAAATATTGCTCATTAGTCTATAACTGTTCAATTCCTTCAATCTTAGATAAAATGAAAAAAGAAATCTTTAGTTGCCTGAACATCTAACCACAGATTGGATGATATCAGCCCTCCATTCCTCAGTTCATTTATAATCCAAGTTAAATATAATTAGTCACATCTCAAAGAAAGAGCCCCATTTAAATATTTAACCCCACCTTCAGTATTAAGACCACATCAGTTCCTGTGTCAGTAGCCAGCAAAACTCCAAAGAAAACGTGACATTCTGATCTCCTGACATTGCAGAAGAGCCAGTGCCCAGGCCACCGTTAGTGGCAGCTAACAGACAAGGTCAGACACCACCTTCATGCAAGGTTTTGCCTCCGTCCCCAGTACGTGCGCGCCTGGTCTCAGCCTTTGAAGCCCATTGACAATAATGTGTTTCCCAGTGCTCTAATTCAAAAACCTTTTTTTTTTTTTCCATGATTGCAAAAAAAGAATCAATAAGAAATACAAACTCTCTATTTGTGTTCTTGACATCCATACATTAAAAACAAGCTAACACATACTGTACTTAAAATGCATCCCCATTACCCTAAATTTTAATAGTACTATTGAAAGTACCACTAACTTTAAAAAACTGTACTAAATTCAAATAGGTCCCAAGGCTAATGGAAGCAATTTGTATACCAACCCAAACTGACTGGCCCACTTTTCAAAATACAGGTATGATAATCTTGTGGTTTTAAAAGGACATTTAAATTGAAAGACTGTGAATTTAGTACATAATTATACCAATAGAACCCTTTAACTTGTCAACTTGTAAATCTAAAAGGCTATCAATCATTTCTAAAGAGGAAATAAACCTTAAAATTCTTTGATTGACAGTGCTTACTTTTTATGTGAAAAAAAAAAGAGTAAAGTGGCCAGAAATCCATTTACAAAAGTACATTGTTTTACATAGGTGAGTAAAAAGCCAATAATTACACCTCCAGAAGACATATAAATCAAAGTAAGTACTTTTCCCTCACTTACATATTTTAAGTTGCAGTAAACTTCAGGTAACTTTTTATTAAAATACTTTTCCAAATGCAAAGCTTATTGAAGCCATTAATAGAGTAGCATTTTCATTTAAGCTAATATAATCATTTTTGCAAATACAAGATTTAAGCCATTTTTCTCCTTCCAAACAATAAACTTTCAGCCTGTCTCTTGTGTGAATTAACTAAAATTACACCCAGGTGTACAAAATCTGTCTATCTATCCTAGTGTATGAGTTAAGGCACAATATTTATTATTCTTACCATTGTATGAATTACTTCTTAAACCCTTGAGGAAGAACTTTCTTTCAAATTAGACTCTAACAGAATAAGCCATGAAGCTCTTTATGCAGCAAGTCTAAAGCCATAACTCATAAAATCTAAGGGTTTTAATCAAGAAAATGCACAATGTCTATGGAAATAAGGATGTGTACATTATATTCACCTTTTCAAAGTCCAACTTATTTTTCAACAGAAATGCTGCTTATGCCTCTGAGAAAAATGTTTCCACCATAACTATAATTTCAAATTCAGCACGAATAATTTTAATAACTACCTGTAGATAGTCCACCGTCTTTAAAAGCCTCTTTCTCTCTCTCCTCTTCCTTTTTTTTTTTTTTTTTTTTTTCAGTCAGTGTAGGGCTTTTTTTAATATTTCACATAATGAATTCCTACTGTGTCAATAAAGCTTTGGTCGTTAATTGAATGACTGTCTGATGTATCTGAGAGAGGAATTTGTTTCTCTGGCCACGCTGCCAACTTACAGCAGAATGATCGACACTTAATATCAGCAATTAAAAGGACCTGTTCAAATATCATATGGAATTTGTAGCTTGGGGTAGTGTAGGAGAACTCTTCACCAAGGAAAACTCATTCAGTGAATGCAGAGAGTAATTGAATTAGACACATTTTAACATTATTATTCAAAGAAAAATAAACACACACTACATAGAAGCATTATGGAAATATTTCAAAACGTAAAACATATCCAGTTAATTTGTTTCCCATGCATTCATGGTTTCATTTATTCCTTTTATTTTTCAGCCCTTGTTTCTTTTTCATTCTGTTTGACCCAAAACCAATGAGAAAGCAGCACTTAGACCTATGAACTTCCCATATGCTTTTCCAGTGGAAAAGTCTGCAAGGAAAGG